ATCGTCCACGACGTTGCCGAGATGCATGTGTGGAGACGCTGCCTGCACGGCGTCTAGAGGCGACAGCAGCACCAGCTGCAACATTAGAGTGGCGAAGTGACACCCTGGCAACACTGCTTGCCGAGTGCGAAAAGGCGTGGAGGTCGCCTCGCCAAGAGCAAGCACTCGAGGACAGCGATAAAGCTCTACGAGCAATTTGAGCTGCCGCACTGGAAAGCCTGAGCGCAAAGCAGCCTGCAACAAAACATCGTGCCTGATATGCTCAAACGCTTTGGCAAGGTCAAGAAGCACTAGGGCGCTGGAGAAACCTCGTGCTCTACCCCACTCAGCGGCAGAAGCCTGCAGCCAAACCAGTCTGTCCGACGAGCGTCCAGCCGTGGACCACTAGTACGGCCGATCATGCTGCTGCTGCCAAGCTGCTACCAAGGGCTTTCGAAACCTCCCCTGCACGCCAGCCAGGATGCGAATAAGCGCGATGGGTCGAAGACCCCCATCGCGTTTAGAAAGGAACACAACCTTGGTCCAAATAGAAGGCCAAGTGCAGGAGGCTTCAACTTCAACCAAGATATCGAGGAAGGCTTCCAACGCTTCATCGGAAAGATGCAAGAGCTGGCGCGGACAGAGCTGGTCAAAGCCACATCCTGACCGTCGCGGGAAAGAGCGCGCGCACGCCTTCAACTGTTCAAGCGAAGGTCGCGAAAATGGAGGGCCAAGATCCGTCGGCCATTCGATCTGGTCGCTAATAGCTCCAACCTTCCACCAACCCGACCACTCCACCTCAAGAGCCTCCACCTCCTCCTGAAGGGCGCATGGCTTGCCAGCTGTCAAAGAGCCGGCGTGCCAGGGAATGGCAGGCTTGGAGAAAGCATAGAGAGCAGCCGCGCCGTCAATCGAGTGACTGCGCACCCAATCGCGCCAGCCCGCCTGCTTGCCTCGCTCTGCCTGCTTGAAAACTGCAACAGCTCGCGCACCAGTGACCTTCGCCGCTGCTGAGGAGAAGCAATAGCTGAAAAAAAAAAAAAAAAAAAAAAAAAAAAAAAAAAAAAAAAAAAAAAAAAAAAAAAAAAAAAAACGCGCGCTGCACGACCTCGCGCGGTAAAGAGAGACAACTGAAATGACCTTTGCCGCTGCACGACCTCGCGCGGTAAAGAGAGACAACTGAAGAAGCAATAGCCAGGGCTCGGCTTCCTGAATCGGAACACCGCTAGCTTTATGCCGTGCCTGGACGCTGCGACCTAGCTTGAGGGTGCTAGCACGTAGATTAGGCGGCTGCCAGCGCGCCAGGCCTTCGAAGCAGCGGGCCAAAAGCCGCCACCAGAGGGCAGCTGGGCTGAGCGTGGGAAACGCAAGCGGATGGAGGCAACGGCTTGCGCGTGTAGAACTGTAGGGAGAAAGCCCTGCAGTAATACTCGGGATTCTCGACAGGCGTGAGGCCGTGCACATCGGCGAGCTCAAACTCAGCATTGGCTACCCACAACCGCCGCTTCTCCGCGAGTGGGAGTCCTGTCGTCTGCTCGCAGAAATGCTGCCATCGCGGTTGAGGATCCGTCCTCCTGCACGCCACTGGAGCATCTAGGGGAAAACGCGTAGGCACACGGGCAGCGCGAAACTCGAGCCCACACTGCGAGAGCGGCGATATCTGCAGCAGCACAGGACTGCGTGGTGAGGTGCCTGCATCGGGCACAATGAGGACACGAGCTCGATGCGAGAGCGACTTCGAAACGACAAAATAGTCGATGACACGACCAGCAGAGGCGGCAACGTTAGTGCACGTGGCAACCGACGGGAACAATCATACTCCGTCTAACGCTCCAACCCAAAGACTGCCCTGGAGCTCCTCAGGAAGCATCTGGAAATCTCCACAGATAACGAACGGCAGACCTACAGCTTTCACAACCTGCCCCACGTCAGTGAGAATGGACCAATTCTTCTTAGACAAACCCTCAGAGTGGTGTAGGTACAGATTGAACCATCAAAATCCTAGAGGCGTAAGTCCATGACTGTGCAGAATGCGGACACGGCCCTCATGCATGACACTAGGCACGCACTCAACCTCAGACAAGCCAGCGGCTGCGGGCACGCACTGCAACAGCCCACCTGATGTGCCACCCTGCGAGGTGGCGGCGGCCGCGGTGAAGGCGGCGCGCCATCCCATACCACGAAGTTTGTGCTCCCAGATGTCACACCTGTCTCTCAACATGCGGTGCTCCTGCACAGCGACTGCAGCGGCACCTCGAATCTGCTCATGCTGTAGGGCGGCCTCCAAACCACTACAGCCAGACACATTCACGGTGACGAGGGTGAGGCTAAAGATCCGATTCAGCAAGCCCATCCACACGAGCCTTCTTCTTCGCGGCCTCGATGAGCTGGTCAAAGAACCCCTGGACGAGCGCGCGCTTGACTCCCTGCTGCTCCGCTTCGGACTGGATCTGCTGTCCAGCACGCTGCTGCTCCAGCCAGGCGAGCATCTCAGCGTGGGAGGCCTGGGCACGCTGCCGCACTGCTGCTGCGTCACTGGCTGCGCGTGCGGCGCGCTGCGCCTCGGCCTCGGCCTGCGCCATGCCCGCGGCCTCCCGCACAGCCGCCTCCTCTGGGGTGGCTAGGGCGCGCGCGGCGGTTCCGCCAAGCGGCTGGGCAGCAGCTGCCTCGGAGACGCCGTCGGCTGCAGGAGCGACGCCAGTGGCACCAGCAGCAGGAGCACCAGCAGCCCCTGGAGCAAAAGCGACACCCTGCATGACCACGTCGGGCTCGGCGAGCTGCCGCAACGCGGGGACAAGCGCCTGCAGCTGCTGGGCAAAGTCGGTGAGCCTAGGGTCCGCCTTGAGCCCGTCCGCCAGGGCAGCGAGCGCCTTCGCGGGGTCCACAGGCTGCGCCATGCTCTGGTAGGCCTGGGCTGCACGCGCGGCCGCCTCCGCACAGCGCGCCTTGGCCTCGTCGAGCTCCTTCTTCGCCGTCGCCGCCGCTGTGACGGCCTTGAGGGCTGCCTCCTGAGCACGGTCATAAGCCCGTTGCGCCTTGTCGCGCTTGTCGGCCAGGACGTCCTGCTCGATGCGTGCCGAACGCGCCTCCGCGCGTGGCTCGCCAGCCCGTAGCGCACGGTGGGCGACCACCTTGGCCACCAGCTTGGGCGCCCAGTCAACGGAGACGGCCTCGAAGTCAGCACCTTCGAGCTTGGCATAGATGTCGATGGCCGAGGGGTCCAGGTACGAGATCTTGACGCCGCCCTGCCCTGATCCGCCACCGCCATTGGCACGCTTGCCACCGCCGCCGCCGCTGGCATGGCCGCCATGGCCGCCGACCTGAGGCGGCCCTTGCAGCCAGGCGCCCAGCGTGCGCGTGCCCTGCGAGGGGGCAGGCGCACTGGGCGCAGGGCGGCCGCACGCGCGGCAGTGCGTGCGCGTGAGGAAGTTGAAGCGATACCCGCACCGCTTGTGCTGACACTGCCAGGTATCGAACGTGGCGCCTCCATGCTTCTGAGGGGCCATCCGACCCTGGAAGAACACTACAAGAAAGAATCGCCGAAAGACCTCGTCTGACCAGGCAGCGAGGCGTGACTTCGGGGGCCGTCACTCCCCCGTGCCAGTAAGGTCAGGTCCTGTGCCAAAACACTCCGGACTTGAGCCAAAATGGCTACGGACTCCTCCTCCTACTCCTCCTCCTCCTCCTCCTCCTCCTCCTCCTCCTCCCTCCTCCTCAGCTGCGATGGAGGAGCCTCGATGATGCAGGAGTGGGGGGGGGGGGAAAGGATGAAGAGGGGCAAAGCAAATAGCACAACACCCCTCGCACCCGACGCTCCAGCAGCCCCCAGTGTGGGTGCGAGAGTGCCGATCTGACGCGGCAGCGAGTCCGAGTCAGCAGAGGGGGTGCCAACGATAGCGAGGAGAGGCACTGTAGAGGGAATGGCAAGGAAATGCGCGACAGCGTGAGGAGAGAGGACGAGGAAGTGGAAGCGAGGTAGAGGAGGAGGGGGAGAGGAACAGGAGAAGGCGCCATGCAGGAGGAAGGAGGGGTATAATCCCACCAACCCATCATGGCGTGGAAGAATTGTTTAGCAGGTTTTCTCTTCCCCCTCTTTCCCCTTTGGGGAGGGGTGTACCCCTCCCCCTCCCCCCTCCCCCTAGGGTCTGGAGAAGGGGGGGTCGCGATTGCTTGGAGCATCCAAGACGGCCTCGGCGAGTAGGCTAACATCGTTGGTTTAACTCACGTTTTGGACCCAGTTTGGCCGCCTGGGGGGGGGCTCTAATTGACTCCCCCACTCTTATATCGATCTCATCCAAGATGGCCCCAAGATTCCCCCCGAGGCTCACAAGAGTGCCCCAAGAGAGCCCCAAGAGGTGCTGGTGCTCAGGCGGCCCAAAGGGGCCCCCAAAAGGTCCCAAGAGGCTCGCGAGAGATGCCCACGAGGCCCCAAGAGGCTCCCCTGAGGCAACCAAGACGCTCCAAGAGGTCCCCGAGGCCGCCAAGAGGCCCCCACGACGGACGCCCCAAGAGGACCCCAAGAAACTCTCAAGAGACATCCGAACAGACTCCGAGAAGCATTCAAGAGGCCTCTGACCTTTCTGCTCGCCCTCATCCTCCTCCTTCTCCTCCTCATCCTTATCCTCTTCCTCATCCGACAATTACTCCTCCTCCCTCCTCCCTCCTCCACCTCCCCCTTTCCCTACTCCTCTTGATCCGAGTCCTCTTCTATCCTCCACGTCTTGGGGTATGAAGTCTTACCCGACTTTCCACTGGGTGCTCCTCCCCATCCCTGAACAGGGCAGCTCGTCTGGGCGTCGTGTCTGGATGGCCTGGTGGGGTTGCGCGAAGCGTCTGGGATATCCGCAGGGGGCCGGCGCAGGCAGGAGGGAGGAGGGACGAGGAGGGAGAAGAGGAGGGGACCAGAGGGGCGGGAAGGCGGAGGAGGAAGAAGTGGGAGAGGGGGAATGGGGGCGGGGGGGGAGCGCGAGGAGTGAGGGAAGCACCGCCGCGGCCGCGCGAGGGATTACCGCGGGGCGCGCCTCCACCCGGAGCAGCAACTCCTGCCACTCTAGCTTCCCTGGCGCCGGGCCATGCGCCCACCCCCCCTCTTCGGGGACGCACGAGGACATACAAACACTGTGCGGCCGCCGGGGAGGCGCAAGTCTGAACCGAACATAAAGCACACACGTGCTACGGTCAGGAAGTGTTGCATGGCGTGCAGTGGCGGAGGCCCTGACACCACGCCACGCCATGCCTTGCGAGCCGATATAGCGTGTCGCTCCGCTCCGGGGGCCGGGAGGCTCGGGAGAATTCGGGGCGCTGGCGCACGGGGACCAGGAAATGGTTCGCGTGTCGCGGCGAAGCGTGGTGGGCCAGAACCGGCGGAACGACACGCAGCCAAGCCATGTCCGACCGCATTGCAAATCGCTACCCAAGTGATACGGCCAGAAAAAACGCCCGCCAACGAGCGTATACCGTACGTCTTCAAAGCGGGCGCGCGTCACCCCTGGGTGGCCGACGCGCACGTCGTATGAACGAGCTTGGATGCTGCCGACCGTTCCTGACCAGACCTCCGACGATCTGCGGAACAGGGGGTGGCATCACCCACTGTTTTTTTCCTGAAGCCCGAATTTTGTTCCTCCACTTCGAACCCTGGAGACCGCCACCACACCTCATCGTGTGCGTGACGAAATCCAAGGCAGGGAGGTGGGGGGCGAATGGAGGTCGCGCAGCTGGTCAACAGTACTCATGTACTCGGCATGTTTGGGCCGTTGGCACACTTTTCGGGGCATGGTCTGTTGGGGTCGGGGCCGTGTTGGGGGAGCTGTTCGCGGCCGCCACAATCACAGGCGGGCGGTCGCTGATACTCCGCTTGCGCAGAACCGCTGGTATCCAGGCGACCGCCCTCACCAGGTCCGCGAACTGGTTCAGAATCCAGCCTGGGGAACTCACAAACTGCCTGTCCATAGTGGAGAGGAGACATTGAGGAGCTTGATGATGGGTAGGCTCTGCAACTTAGAGTTCCGTCATTTTTTCAGAGCCCCCATCCACGCCACATCCTGTCTCTTCCTGTATTCCTCAGCGAAAATTAATGTTGGCCGCTCTGTTGCTGCTGCTGCTGCTGCTGCTGCTGCTGCTGCTGCTCCCGTTGATGCAAGTGTTGTTGCTCCTCAAACCGTGGGCCTCATCCTCATTCCCGGGCGGCTGGTCGGCGAAACTACGGTCGCCAACCACAACTGCAAGCCGCGACGCAGGCTGTGAGCCAGCACCTCCCGGGCCTCCCTGGATCGTTTCGGCGATGATTCAAAAAGTCTGCTTAACCCAGAACTGTGGGCGTTGTAGTGTAGTGTCCAGAAACCCATGGAAAATTCAACGCGGCCATAGGGAGGAACTGACCAGGAATCAAAATTCTGGGGTCCCCTCAAGCTTCTCGAAGACCAGGAGAGCGCAGTTCGGGAAAAATGCGACCCCCCCCTGCCTGAGATGTGCCGCAAAAACTCGATGACGCATTCACCTCCTTGTGTTAATGGTACCATATCTCTTGGACCTCTCCCTCTGACCCGTCGCTCTTGGATGTCGAGCACCGCGCCAGGAGCGAGGAATGGGCGGAGGGCGCAAATCTTCTCATCCCCAGCGCTCGGGTCGTAACACTAGACGGCGCGAGAGTTCCACGTGGCCCGAGTTACCTCCCAGGCCAAGTTCGATGCAGTGTGTCGTCGCGCGGCAAACGGGCACAATACTGAACTCTGATGCTGCTGCCGAGCTGGCGAAGGCTGGGGCAAATCGCTGGCGAAACGCGTTGGCATCAACTCCTGCTGCGATGCAATCGGCGGAAAGAAAGAGACATCGCTGGTTCTTCGCCCCTGGCCGAGGACCGTCACGCACGAGGGGCTTCCCACGTGGATGAGTTCGCTTTTGAATATCTGCCGCCGCATGCTTTGACCTTCGGGTGAAAGTCAGCCAGGATCACTGGAATGCTCTTGAGGTGAGTCTTGTTTCGCACCATGTGGGGGCTCTTGCCACTGGCTAGGAAACTGTCATGCTCGGCGTTGTCAACACCTGAAGCCCGGAGCCGCTCTGAGGACCCGACGCGCCTCCGAAGACTCCCCAAGATCTGCTATACCTGTCTCTGGGCGAATCTCCTGCCCCCCATCAATCCGCTACGTGAAACGGCGTGCTGCGGGTTCTCCCTCCGAAGTGTAGCCCTTGGATGCCAAGCCGTTGACCTCGAGGATGCGGCGGCAGGCCTGCTCTGCGTTTTGCTTCGGAAGCACGCCCTTGGGAGCGGACGGTTAGGATGGTCGCGTCGATGTCTGTCGTGTAGAAGGTGTCCACTGGCTTGGGCGTGGGCCTTTCCTCATGGATGTGTCCGAAAGTCGTGCGCAAGGTGCGCGCCTGGCGCTTGAGCTCGATGATGTCCTGGTCGCGCTGGTCGCCTCTGGACTCCACCTGCGCCACCCTCGCCTCGACCTGCTTCTGGATCTGGGCCGGGTTGCTGGTGACGGCATTCGACAGGCCACCGAAGTTCTGGGAAAGCCCCTGCAGTTGCCCTTGCACAGAGTGTCGCACAACACAACACACCCCGTCATCACGAGCACGTCTGGGAGGTCGCAGCGCTATTTCTGACGGAAATGTCAATGTTGCCTCGAGCTGCTCTGCTCACGATGCACGTGTTGCGGTTCCGTGCAGCTTGGCGTCTCTGCGGCGTGCGCAAAAGGATACGTACCGAGTGATTTTTCCCCCGCTCCAATGCGTCACTAGCCACGGGGCCTCAACCGCCACCCCCACAGCTCCGGAACCGGGTACTGCGAGGGCTTTGGTTTTGGCCGCACAGTGTCCGTGGGCCACGATCAGATGATGAAAGCCGCGCCACCTCCCCAGTGGCACATCGGCCAGAAACAAAGGCCAGGATACGTACCGAGTGAAATGGTGGCGAAAGTATCGTGCCCCGCTGCCCTGGCAGGCTCCCGTGGGGGCCACTTCGGTGCCCCTCGGGCGCGGGGATCCACGACCCGCTCACGGCGACGCCCTGAAGCAACATCGCTGCGGACCCTCCTCCTCCTCCTCTTCCTCCTCCTCCTCCTCCCTCCTCCCTCCTCCCTCCTCCCTCCTCCCTCCTCCCCTCCTCCTCCTCCTCCTCCTCCTCCTCCTTCTCCTCCTCCTCCTCCTCCTCCTCCTCCTCCTCCTCCTCCTCCTCCTCCTCTTCCTCCTCCTCCTCCTCCTCCTCCTCCTCGACACACCCCCGGCGCAAGATGAAATCTCTCGCGCCTCTCCAAGTGGGGGCGGCCTACCCGCCACCCCCCCGCGTCTGCCCAAAGCTTCAGCGGACGCCAAACAGCCGACGGGGCGGAGGAAAAAGGAAGAGGAAGACGAGAAGGAGAGAAAGAGAGAGGCGTCAGCTCAACGACGTGCTGCCCCGCGAACAAGACTGACCGCCGAAAGCGGCCAGCCCCCATGCCTCCGTGGCTCTTCCAGCGCCACGGGACACTGGCCAGCCCCAACGGACCTCCGTGCGGGGCACGCGGAGCGGGAAACCGTATGTGTGACCAGGCCCACCCCCGCAGACCCCCTTGGCCACGGGGGGTCAGGTGGGTCCACGCCTCTGAGCCGTGCCCAAGTGGCCGACCCCCCTGACCACACCTGACACCGCAACGTGACGGGCAAGCAACAACAGTGGCCAGAGCCTGCCCCCAATCCAGGCAGGTACCGTACAGGCCGTCGCGCACCCATCGCGAAGGACGGGATTGCTCCGACCCAGGGACGGGTGCCCTCGCGGGACCCAAAGGCCCAGGCCGGGTCCCCGTGGGACCTGAAAAGGGAGGCCTGGCCACTTTGGGGGGACCGCCACAGGGGTGCCGCCCCAGGCCCGACAGGGCACCGACCCCCTGGCCCACGGCGCCGCAAGCGACGTCTAGGCGGATTTCAGTGCACCCCAAGGGCCCCGATGCGCCGCCCACACACAGAGGTACCCCCCTGGGTGCTCCTCCTCCTCCTCCTCCTCCTCCTCCTCCTCCTCCTCATATTGATCCTCCTCCTCCTCCTCCTCCTCGTCCTCCTCCTCGTCCTCCTTCTCATCCTCCTCCGCCTCCTCCTCCTCCTCCTCTTCCTCCTCCCCTCACGCCCCAAGCAATGTCGGGGGTTGCCAGGGGTGGTCCTGGCCCAAAGTGCCCCATGCTTCCAACGCCACCGTGGAGCCCCATGGGGCCCTCTGGGCCTCGCGAGGGAGCGCCCGAGGGCGTGAGAGCCTGGCATCCTCGCTGCCAACCGTGGGCCAAGGACACATTCTGGCCACTCCCCTCTGCGTCCCCTTCCCATCCTCGGGCTTCTCCGGCCCGAGGCAGGGCCTCAAACGGGAGCTTTTCGCAGCCCCTGGCTCCTCAGTCTGTCTCATTTTGGGCTCCTCAGCCAAAGCTCCTGCGCAGCAGGAGGGCAGCAAAAAGAAACGAGGGGCCGTCCTGGGCGTACACAACGCTGGCACGTGACCCACCACCCACCACCAACAACAAACATCAACAGATGGTGGAGCGGTCCTTCGTTTCTCCTTCTCTCCTCCTCCTCCGCCTCCTCCTCCTCCTCCTCCTCCTCCTCCTCCTCCCCCTCCTCCTCCGCCTCATTATCCAACCTTCGAGGGCGCAGGACTGTGTAGCCGATTTCGTCCACGCGGCTGGCATCGCTCAATTCGGACAGGACCGGGGGGGGGACTGGCCACATGTGGAGTTTGAGCGCTCTGCCATGCTGCCACGGCCAGGGGGGCACCGTGCCCGCGAACATCGCGCGGCAGATGGCAGTCAGTCGGAGGGGGGAAGAGGAGGAGGAGGAGGAGCAGCAGGAGGAGCAGCAGGAGGAGGTCGATGAAAATGATGTAGGTGTTTGATTCGTATGTAATGTCTTGGCATCTCGAGGCCTCTGGCAATTCAGCCTTAATGTTGCGCGGCTGAATGATTCCAAAGGTCCTCGAACATACAGGGTTTAGTTTTTTGTTTCGAACAAACCTCCCCAGGGCCCCGTACACGGGTGCCAGGACAATGGCACGTCTGATTCACCGCAAGACTCGGTGGAAGCATTCTCCAGCTTCCGTTTTCTCCAGCTGGATCTGGTGACGTTCTGCTCCTCCAATCGCTTTTCAGAATAGTTCGCAGATTCTGGGATCAAGGCCCAGGATTTGGGAACGCCTCCAGCTCCTTCTTGGCCCCCTGGGGCCTCTGGAAAGCTACGAAAAACCTGGGGGACCTGGCGAGCCCCCCTTCACATAGATCCTCGCTGCCCACCGAGCCGCCCCGACCCAACCTGACGTCGCCGTTGGGCCTGCCACTTTCAAGCGGGGGGACGTTTTGGAACACAGGGACACAAGCACTGGAACCCGCACAACCCCCTGACCCGAAACTTTGGGGAGGTCCGGGACCCTCGGGCTGGGTTGGGGTGGCTTCGTGGGTACAGTCGGACCCTGGCCAGAAGAGCATCCCTCAGGAACATGGGGCCCTGAGTCGACCAAAACAAGCAGAACATCCAGGGGTACCCTCCCCAGGATGCACAAGAACCTGGAACAACGAAGAACACTGGGGCACCCACTCCCAACCGGCCTCACTCACAGTCGGCCCATATCATAAGGATGCGCGATAAGGATGCAAGCGCCTTGGACGCCCATTTCAAAGCTTTTCAAGCGGAGCGTGGCCAACGAAAGTGGCCAAGCATGGCCCGAGGAGGCAAGGATGCAAGGGCACCCTTGGGAAGGTTGCCCATCCTAAGTCAGCAGGTGGACTGTAGTGCGATCCTCGCTCCTCGCTCCTCCTCGTCGTTCCCCCTTGGGCCAGCGTGGCGGTGCGGGCGAAGGGTCCTTCCGCCGCCACCTGCTCCAGGGTGCGCCCGCCCACCTGGCCGTCCCGCGCGGCTTCCCGGGGGCACCCACCCTCCACCTCTCAGAGGGCACCAGCTGTCCCAGGAGGCAGCAGTCTCGAGGAGGATCAGGAAGAGGAGGAGGAAGAGGAGGAGGAGGAGGAGGAGGACCAAGGAGGAGCTTGGTGGAGGAGGAGGAGGAGGAGGAGGAGAAGGAGGAAAAGGAGGAGGAAGGAGGAGGAGGAGGAGGAGGAGGAGGAGGAGGAGGAGGGAGGAGGAGGAAGAGGAGAAGGAGGAGGAGGAGGAAGGAGGAAGAGGAGGAGGAGGAGGAGGAAGAGGTGAAGGAGGAGGAGGAGGGGGGGAGGAGGAACAATGAGGAGCAAGGAGGAGGAGGAGGAAGAGGATCAGGAGGAGGAGGAGGAGGAGCAAGGTTCTGACGACACGGGCGTGCGGGCCCCAGGTAGCCCTCGCGGGAAAGGCCAGAGACTACCATGGCAATCCTATGGGGGAAGCGGGAGGGGGGAAGGCTCCTTAGAATCATCCACCCTTGTTGGAAGGCGCGAGCCTTGATTATCTATAGATGTCAGGTCGGCGCCTTCGAAGAGGCAGCCTCGTTCTAAGAAGCCTTCCCCGCTCCCCTACCCCCTTGTGCGCGCCGCCAGAAGCCCGATGCAGGGGCCATTGGGCCGGATCCGCCCAACTGCAGCCCAGGGCAAAGATGCGCTGAGAGACACCGTGCCGCATGGGCCCAATTTTCGACCACGGACCTGCCAGCGCCGATGCTGAACTCAACCTCCAGAGGGTTGCACCCGAAGCTGTCCACCGCACCGGTCCTGGCCGGGCCGAGCCGGGGCCCAAAGTGGGCCTGGGCAGGGCCCGTGGGGTGGATGACCGACGACCCCCGGGATCTCTTTCGTGCTCGACCGCGGACGCTCTGCTGCTCGTCGACATCCGGCGGTCTTCGGCAGTCTCTGCAAGTCGTATGCGCGAGAGCAAGATGGCTGCGGTGAGCGTTGAGCAAGGGTCCATCATGGTCGCACACCTGAACTGCCGCTGCGCGTGCGCTTCCTCTGGAGCAGGAGGAGAACAAGCATCGCGTCGGATCGGAACCAGGCCACTCGCCCCGGACTTGGCCAGGATCGGAGATCGGTCGCATGCGCGAATATCCAGCCAACGAAGATCAAACCGGCTGTCTTGGAAGTGGACCGGGTCGACTCCTACGAACGATGCCGTGCCACTCGCCGCCGACGCCGTCGCCGCCCCTGCCACGGTCTCTGCAGCTGCCCCCACTGAGATAGCCGTCGTCGCGCTCGCCTCGTCCTTGTCCTCCCCCACGCCATCCCTCTTCTCCCGTTTTAGTTTTCCTCCTGTTGACACACAAGCATCCCGACGAGGCCACAATGATGAACAGCGGCAGGATGTCGGCGACTGAGAAGCGCGGGGGCCCCCAAAAACCAGCACCAGAGCTCGCTTTGAGTGCAGAGTTCTTCCCGTGTCTGGTCGCACTGGGAGGAATTAGACACCCGCCGTGGGCAGGCCTCCTTCTGCAGGCATGGGTTGGGGGAGCGCCCAACCAGGCTGCTGGCCTCACCCCGCCCGCCTCTTCGACCGCGTGCGGGGGCGCACGCGTGTGGCCCGCATGATCTTTTCTGTGGCAGGGATGGCAGGAACTCGTTGTCTCTCTTCTGGTGTTAGCCAGTGTGCGAGCAGACGTTATGACATGTGCATCGAAAGACAATGCGCATATCGTGCGTACATGCTGGAATACTGAAAATGACTACCTACCAGACCACCCCAACCCAACACGAAGACCCGAATTTCGGGTTGGGGGGGGTAAGGGTTCCACATGTGCTTTCTATGTTTCCCGACCCTCCCCCCCACTGGAAACCGAGGGTAAATCTGAGCCTTCGGGTTGGGTTGGGGTGGTTTGGTGGGTGGTGAGAAAACACGACCGCTTGCAGAGATAATCAGGCGTGCGCGAGCGGGGTCGCGCGCGCCTGTGGCCCGCATGGCATTCCGGAGAACAGTTATGTAATCTACCTCTGACTACGGCTAAGTTGCGCTGCGCCGCATGGGGCCGGGGTGCCGTGGTTTCTTGATTCGGATGGGCGATCGCGCACACTCATCATGAAGCAAGACGCTGGGCGGCACCACCAATTCAGCCTCGGCACGGGCGCCGAGCTTAACTCTCTCACGAATAAGGAATGCGCTCGGCACAGAGTGGTGCAATATTGGCGTGGCATGCGAGGCTGTGCGCGTGCACCCCGAAACGCCTGCCAGCGCCCGGTGCGGCCACGGGCGATAATCGGGCGGAGCTCTGCAAACGCTGGCCAGCGCACGGGGCGGCCATGGGCGCCTAGAGTCAGGGATCCAGCGACCCGGGCCACTGCAAGCCCAGGTCAGTCGGGCCCTGCAGGGTCCTGGGCGCTGCACCGGGTCAGTGAAACCCTGGCTTTCCAGGATCGTGCAAGCTCCGGCGCTCTGGCTGGCACCCGCCTGCAGTGACCCCCCGTCCCTGCCAGCTCGATACGTGGAGAGAGACCAGAGGCATATTTGCGAGAATCCGTCGATGCCGGATTCCATGCCAAAGCTGCCGCCATTTCTGAGACACTGGGGGGAAAGGTCACCCGCAGCACCAAAATTCAATTCTGAATTTCCACAGAATCGGGACCCGGCATGGACAGTAGAGCACGAGTGCCCTTTTCAAGCAGAATGCCGGTCGAGAGCGGGGACTGGCCGGACGGATGTCAGAGAACCTGGCCAAAACGCACGGGGCCGCCGTGGGGCGGCCAGCGCGCGGCCGCATGGCCCAGCCACCGCACAGGGGCGGCCCTGTGAGGCGGCCGCCCCCGCCCAGCCAGTCAGCGCCGCCAGCGCACGGGGCGGCCACGGCGCGGCCACGACGCGGCCGCGCCCTGGATGGCGAACCAGGCCAGCGACCGGAGGCGGCCACGATGCAGTCGGGGCGTTGACCCAAGGAACCCTAAATAAGGAGCGAGGCCCCTTCTTTCCATAGGTTAGCCTTCGATTATGTATCGAAAACCTGAGGAAAATCCAAGGCAAGCTGCGAAACAATCAAGGAACACCGAGCCCCTCCCCAACGAAAAGGGTTCCTTCTCCAGGGCCCCGACTGTACGGCCACGGGCGGCCACACCGAGCAGGAAGCCCCCCCTGGAAGCACACCCAACCAAATACCCAGGAGGAAGCAAGGCCTTATAAGTCGCAGTGCAAGCGCTGTCTGTGGAGTCGCCCTGGTCTACAGAGCTCTGGCGAGGTGGCGGGGGACGAGGCAGCGTATGTATGGCAAGATCACTTATGTGCTGGATTTTCCCCGACCCCTCCGTCCTCCCTCTCAGATACATGCCCAAATCGAAGAAAGACCCCGAAGGCATCAGCGAAAGCATAAGCACATCTCACTCCTCAACGTTTTTCCCCTTCCGTACCATTTCATCATCCTGTCCTCCTTCTCCTCCTCCTCCTCCTCCTGCTCCCACGCGACCTCCTCGGACTCCCCCTCCTCCTCCTCCTCCTCCTCCTCCTCCTCCTCCTCCTCCTCCTCCTCCTCCTCCTCCCCCATGTGTCTCCGCCCCCTCCTCCCCCTCCACCACCGCCCCCTTCCCAGAACCCCCCCAGAAAACAGCGAGTTCCGATGCAGACCTCTAAAAGTCCCCGAGAGAGTCGGGGAAAAACCTCACGGAAGCCTCGCCTCTCTCCAACCTGCTCCTCCCCCCCCCTGTCTTCCCCCCCCGTCCACCTCCTGCATGCTCCCCGCCCCCCTCGAGGACGAAGAGGGAGGGGAGGGGGGAGGGACGGTCCCGCTACTCCCCGGACCTCTCCCTGGGTGGGTTCTGACCGAAATTTCGAAGCGAATCCAGCGGTGGCGACGAGGGCATCCCAGGAGGCCCAAGAAGGGGAAAGCGGGCGAAGGATAGAAGTATGGGTACTTTCCCCTCCTCTGGTCTATTCCTCGCTCGTTCCGGCCGGGATTTCCCACGCCCCCCGTTGGCAAAGCCCCGGCTTCAGGCTTCAGGGGCCTCGAGGGAGGGGGGCAGAGCTCGGGGAGGAGGGAGGCCGGCTCCGGAGGGCTCCTCCTCTAGGCAGCCCCCCCCCCCCGCCTCGCGGTCGAGCGCGCGAACGCTCTGCGACGCCGAGATGAAGGAGGTGCCTGCGCGACGGGGGGCCCCCTGGCGGGCGTTCTGCCGCGAAGAACGCGAACCACCATAAAGCGGGACTTCTCGGAGGTCCGCAGGGATCTCTTGGACTGGTGCTGGGTGCAGGACCCCCCTCCCTGGCGCGCGGAGGGCGCCAGGGTCGTCGCCAGAAGCGCCCCCAGGGGGGCCCAGCCCCGATCCACGAAATCCGCGAGCAGCTTGGAGAGTGTATGCTTATGCCGTTCTCGTGGCTCGGCTACTTCTCAGATCCAGGCCAGGTCACGGTCGGGAGCTTTCGCTCAGCGTGCCGCGGCGGCGGCTTCGGCGACACGCCATGCCCTGCGAGCTGATAGCGTGTCGCGCCTCTCCGCGGGGCAGAAAAGCTCGCGACGCTGACATTCGGAGACCAGGACTTGGCTAGCGTGTCGCGCCGAAGCGAGATGGGCCAGAACCGATGGCACTTGCATGGATGGGGCTAGGACGAGGATACATCCGTTCCAGAGCGTTCCTGAACGCTCTCAGAGCGTTCCAGAACGCTCTAAGAAGGCCGCGGCGCTCGATACATCCTCGAGAGCCGCCAGATCTCAGATATTCTCGATGTGTCATTACCCGAAGGTGCCCTCGTCCTGGCTTCGTCTTACTCCCCTCTCCCTCTCCACCACCTTTTCAAGCAGCGCTGGGCTGGAGATAGATGGAAGTAGGTCCTAACTTGCGTGAAGTCCAGATTGTCTTGCGGGCCTCGCCACGAACCCCCCCCCCACCCCCCCTCTCGATTCGAGCACACTTGCTGGAGTCATTAGATTAGGTTTTGCATGCGGATTTTGCAAGACAGAGAAGAAAATCCGAACATAATCAAAATACTCCAATGGGTACAACAACTCGTCACACGACTCTGTGCTTATTATCCTTGACGATTCCTCCTGTGAAGGGACACGCCCGACTTAGCCATAAGAGAAACAGCCTCCGCGGGGCCCTGGCCCCCAGCAGGGGGCCGAGGCCTCGTCTGAGACGAGGTCCGGACCAAGACGACATCTGACGGGGATCAATCTGGGATTTCTGAGATCTGTAGAGAGCCCACGAAAGACGTACGCGCCCAACTATGTGCATGAACACGGCCCCTTGACCCGCCAGACCGGCCGCGTGATACGAACACTCGCTCAATGCGAGCTCTCGAAACCAGCGTGGATTCATGTACGCGTACATCATTCTTTCGCTCCTGAATCTGGCTGCCGTGGAATACGTGGCCCTTCCAGGTAGCGCCAGAACGCTGTGAGAGCGTTCGGGGACGCTCTGGGACTATCTATTTGTCCTGGGCCCGCCCGATCCTCCTCCTCCTCCTCCTTCTATCCCCCTCCTCCTCCTCCTCCTCTTCCTCCTCCTCCACCCTCTTCCTCCTTCTCTTCCTCCTCCTCCTCCTCCTCCCTCATCCTCCTCCCTCCTCCTCGCCCAGGTGATGGTCCACGTCCTAGACTTCCTCCGCGCCCTTATCCTCTTCGTCCTCAGTGCCCTCCGCCAATTCTCGACTTCTTCCTTCCCATCCTGATGTTCATCCGAGTTCTCGTTGTCGTCGTCCTCATTCGCATCATTGCTCCTCACTGCTGCTGCTGCTGCTGCTGCTGCTGCTGCTGCTCATCGTCCTCCACTTGTTCCTCGCCCTGATCTTCGTCGTCCTCCTCCTCTTCCCTCCCTCCTCTTCTTCCTCGTCCTCGTGCTCCACCTGCGCCACCCCATACGTCTCATACTTCATCCTCATCAAGCGGCAATGTGGGCATGGAAAGGGAGGAAAGAGCGAGCGAGAGGAGCGTGAAGGAGAGGGAGAGGAGGAATCACGGAGGAGTCGGATTCGGAGCGTAAGGCGGGGGCGGGATGAGGAGGATGGGAAGGAAAACGATGGGCTGGAGGAGTGAATGATAATGGCCCAATCCCTGCATACGCAATCGCAGCATGACTAGTCCGGTGTTCGAGCGAATGCAGCTCGCTGGCAACGCGCCAAGGATCAATAGCCAAGTAGGGACAGCAACAATGATGCATCTCGCCAGGAAACCATGACGACTTCAGAAGCGGCTCGCCTATCCGGATGTCCGCCTGAGAGATGTTTATCTCAGTTTGCGTTCTGCACGCTCCTTTCGCAATCAAATTCCCACTCCTCCGCTCCCTCTGCCAGATGACTGCCCCTGCACCACTCGGGTGAATTTCTCCTCAGCGACGACAGGACCATCAATAGCATTGAAGAACGATCATGCCACCAAACTCTGGATGGGCGTGGAAATCAAAATATCACTTAAATCAAACGTCCGTCTGTGCCTGCACCTGTACCGCACAACCGTGCAAGTGAGACGAAGACGCCAGGTGCTTGCTGCATCTGCCACTCGTCCTCTTCATCGTGGAGGAGTGGGACGAGAACGATGTGGATAATCAGTAAAAGTAGCGGGAGGAGGATCACCCAGAGAGGAGTCCCCCACCCCCCCTCTGCACACCCCTGACAGGGCGCTGCTGTGGATTCTCCTTCTGCAAGACTTGGTCATCCCTCTTGACGCGCGCAGAAGATGGCAGGGCAAAAGGGGCGGTCTCGGCACAAGTCAGAGGGCCTCCTGGAAGGGTCCCACCCCTGTCTTGCAGACATCCAACGAGGCTACTGGTTGTGGGCACGAGTGAGGAAACAACTCCTGGGCGGTCTTCGTGAGAACGATTACGGGCGATCCGGACCATGCAGGATGAGGCACAACATCGAGCCGGATAGAGCCGGAGCGAGCCAGACCCGTCGGGGATGCTTGGATTGGGCTGAGTTTCCATCGCCAGTGCCGAGTCTGACCCCCCAGGAGCTGCATCCCACGGAGGGAGAGCAATGGGCATCGAGAGAGTAAAACAGGCCTAGGATCGGGATAAATCGCTCCAGAGCGTTCCGGAGCGCTCTCAGCGCGTTCCGGAACGCTCTGGAGCGGCCGCGGCGCCCAATACATCCTCCAAACCCGCCGATTCTCAGAGATTTCGAGTTATCCCGATCCGATTTTGTCCCGATCTTCGTGTCGTTTTAGAGAGAGAGAGAGAGAGAGAGAGAGAGAGAGAGAGAGAGAGGCCCCCAACAAAAGCACGGCGTCCTGGGTCTGCTCCCCGAGCAGGAAGCAGCACTCGCGGCTGCCAGAGAGAGCTGCGCAGCGCGGCGGCCCGGACACCGCCCCCTGGCCAGCGGGGGGGAGAGCGGGGGGCCGACGCCGACGCCGACGCCGACGGGCGGGGCCAGGGGGAGAGGGTCTGCCCCATTCATCCTCCCGCTCGTGACGCGACCAGGTCGTGCGCGCTCTGAAAGAGTGCGTGCCCGCCTCGCCGAGCTGCCGTGGCAGGGTCCTCTGCAAGAGCGCGTGCAGGGGCCACGGGGCCACTGCACTGGGTAGCTTGCGTCGTCTGCGGAAGGGCCAGCATCCAACACCCGACCACGGGGAGGCCTCTGGGGTGAGGGCCCACGGGCCCCTTCTACACGGTAGAGGTGGCATCCAAGGAAAGCGGACTGGCAGAGGGGCGAGCTCTGTGGTTCGGGCTGCGTGAAAGCCCGAGTTCCGCAAAGGCGCCTCGTGGTCGCGTCGTCTTCAACAGCTTGCCCGCTTGTCAAGTCTATTCGGGAGCCTAGCCTGCCGTCGTCCACAGCAAACCATTTCCCCTTAGTGCCCCTCGCCCCCCCCCCCACCATGGCGGCGATGGCCTATGTCAGCCCTGCGGGGTGCTGGCACACGACTGGGGGGGGGCACTCCGCCCTGCGAGGAAGGACCACGCGCGCATGTCACACCGCTCCTCCGCACTCCCATCCCCCCCCCGGCGGCCCCTGCTCCCTCCACCCTTCACCTCTCCCTCCGCCCTCCACCTCCACTCTCCAGCTTGACTAGCATCCTCCTCCGTTTCCCTCCGTCCCTCCGCTGTCCCTCCGTCCCTCCAGCGTCCTCGCATCCTCATCCTCGTCCTCATCCCCCCGCTGCCCCTCCGCCCTCCACCCTTTCGTCTCTCCCTCCTCCCTCCACCTCCCCTCTCCAGCTGACTCTCCTCCTCCTCCTCCTCCTCCTCCTCCGTTTCTCCCTCCCGTGCGCGCCCCTCCCTCCTTCGTCCTCCGTCCTCCCTCCTGCTCCTCCTCCTGCTCCTCCTGCTCCTCCTCCTCCTCCTCCTCCTCCTGCTCCTCCTCCTCCAAGCTCCTCCTCTTGCCCCTCCTCGTCATCCTCCTCCCTCCTCCTCCCTCCCTCCCTCTCTTCTTGACCTGCACAACAGCCCACCGCTTGCCCCCCCCCCCCCAAATATCGCTGGGCGCCGGAGGAGCGCCCGAGGCTTTGTCTGGGAATCCCGAAGGCTTCCAGAGGCTTGAATCAAGGACGCAAGGTGCCCAAAAATTTGATCCTCCATCCGTCAAAAGATGCCTCCCGAACGGGGTTCGAATGGATGGGGTAGGGGGATCGTGAAGCATCGCCGATGCATCACCGATGCATCGGCGACGTCGGCGACGCATCGGCGACGCATCGGCGACGCATCGGCGTGAAGAAACCGGACTCTGCGTCGAGCCGCGCCGGCGATGAACCGGCGATGCGGCGCGGTCCTCTGACCCCATCTGCACAGACCCCATCAGCGAGGCCTAGAACTCGCCATCGCTCGGACGTCCATTCCCTGTGTTTTTTTTCGGTTTCATGTGTGTTTTTTTCGCCAATTGATCAAGGATGATCCTCGATGGTCCTGAACGAAGGAAAAATGCACACGTCCGAGCGATGCCGAGATCAGCGAGGCCTAGAAAAAAAGGAGGCTGCCCACCCGCACTTTCTCTATCCTCACGGAGTCGTCCAGGACGTGGCACAGGGAGTCCACGGGCTTCCAGCTGAAGTGGCTGCAACCCTTGACCTGCGGCGGGGCAGGGGTCGATCTGCTCTTGCGCGTGTCGCGCTCGCGAGACCCAAGGCAGTGGAAGCTCCTTGACCTGCGTCCGCCCCGAGCCCGGAAGCGTCCTCATCCTCCTCGTCATCGTCGGAGTTACTGCTCCTCGTACCCTCTGCGTCATCCTGATCGTCCTCCTTTTCGCCGTCGTCATCCTCCTATTCGTCCACTTCCTATTCGTTGCCTGTCGTTCTCCCCAATTCCAACTCCTCTTCATCGCAATCGTCGTCCTCGTCCTCCAACTATTCGTCGTTGTCGTCGTCCTCCTCCTCCTCCTCCTGCTCCTCCTCCTCCTCCTCCTCCTCCTCATCATCATCATCACCATCGTCGTCAGCATCATCATCATCAACATCAACATCATCATCATCATCGTCATCATCATCATCATCATCATCATCATCATCATCATCATCATCGGCAGCAGCATCAACATCATCATCACAATCAGCATCATCACCACAATCAGCATCAGCAACATCACCATCATCAGCATCATTATCATCACAGCATTATCATCAGCATCATCAGCATCACCATCACCATCACCATCATCAGCATCATCAGCATCACCATCACCATCACCATCACCATCACCATCACCATCACCATCACCATCACCATCATCATCATCATCATCATCATCATCATCATCATCATCATCATCAACGTCAGCATCATCCTTTCCAGCATCAACATCATCATCGTCATCAGCATCAGCATGATCAGCATTACCAACATCATCATCAGCACCATCGCTACCACATCATTAGCATCATCAGCAACATCATCAACATCATCGACATCATCATCACAATCCTCCCCCTCTGCGACCTCATCCTGCTTATCATCCGTTTCCTCCTGCTGCTGCTCCTTCTTTTCCCACCTCCCTTTGACCAGGACCGTACCTCCGAAACATCCGGGAAGGTGCCCGCACTTGTTCACCATCCGCAGCGCACCTCATAGGAGAGGGGGGGAAAAGAGGACGAGAAGGATTACCGCCCCGTTGAAGTGGCTTAGGGACACAAAACAAATACACACACACATCTCAAGATTCCACATGTTTCCATGTGTTTTGGATTGTCGTCTCACCCCCCCCCCACCTCTCTCCATATTCTCACATATTTATTTTCCAAGGAATCGGCGATTCAATGTGTCTGTGTGTTTTTGTTCCTCCTGATCCATGCTGTTGCATGAGGAGGAGGAGGAGGAGGAGGAGGAGGAGGAGGAGGAGGAGGAAGAGGAGGAGGAGGAGGAGGAGGAAGGGGGAAGGAGGAGGGGAGGCGCCCTGACGTCAGAATCTTGGGCTCCGCTTTCGTGTGGCCGCCTGGCAGCTGCGGGGGCGCTCTCGTCGAAGTCCGCCGCTGCCTTGGAGCGCACTGGCCGCAAACCTCCTCCCTCAAGCAGCAGCAGTCTGCCGAGCCACGCTGCGGATGGCGGGCTTACACTCCCCCGCCAAGCCTCGGAGGACTCCACTCCCACGGGCCGAGCAACGGTCACAAGTCGAGCGGAGAAAAAAAAGAAGAAAAAAAAAAAGAAGGAAAAAAAACGGACCTGACAGTCAGCGCGGGCCGCGTGGCTCTGGTGGCTGGCCCTGCCCGCGCCATCCTGTGCCAGGCGCAGCGGGCAACGAAGTCGCAAACACCTCAGCAAGCGCAGGCACGCACAGGGGAGGCTAGCGACTCCATGGCGTCTTGTCGGGGGGGGGGCCCTCGCGACTCTCCAAACAACGGCGGCGCGAGAGGCGGGAACCCCCCTTGCTTCCCCGACCTTCCGGCCACACAGCACACCACGAGCAGGCCTGGCGTCCTGGCCGAGGTGAAGTCAAAAAACCTTTGGCTCGGGCAAACTCCGGCAAGAGGGGGGGCCTGCTCGACTGTGCCGGAGCCCCGAGGGCCGCAACGCGCACGTTCCTTGAGCACCGCCACCCGCGTCCTTCGAGCCATATTCGAGAGACGCCCCGTCTCGCGAACCTCGTCACCGTCGGCATCAGCGGTCGACCATGATAGTGGCTCCCCTTCAGAGCTCAGGGATGCCTCAAATCCTAACTCAATCCTCGGACGCGTAGGACTCCACCTCGTAGGTGTCAGCTGCACCTCGCCACGGGCGTCCGAAGGCAACGTCAAAGGTCTCGATTGATTCGAGGACGCTTCGCACTGGAACTAGTGACCAACCACTCTAGCAACAAAGCTCGAGCCAGTGACGAAAACTAGGGATCTTCCAGGGCTGGCACAGACCTCCACCCAACGCACTACTGCCACCCCTTCAGCCCGATTGATCGTCTGTGCCAATTCTGGCAGGCCTCCAGCTAGTCCCTTGACTGCTTGAACTGGGTCCCAGATTGGAGCACGCCTCCGCCAGCGCGTAGAAGCTCCAGCCTCGGCCTGCCAGCCTGGTGCTCGTTGCACTCCATGCGCCTGCCGAACCAGGGGGCCACATGCGAACCCTGCCTCGGCCCCCCACGACTGTGCTGATGGGAGGGGCCACTTCGCTCGGGAACTCCCGAGCGCAGTGAAGCCCGCCCTCCCCCTCAGAAATCGTGGGCGGCAGGGGTAGGGTTCGCATGTGGCCCCCTACGAAGCCGTCGGGCCAGCCTCCCCGGTGTCCCCGATGAAGCAGCCGACATCCGCCAGACCGGTCCGCATGAACTCCTCGACCACGTACTCGCCCAGCTCGTAAGCACTGACCTCGGAGATGGCGCCCCTGGCGCGGAGAACCGCCAGAGTTAGGTCGGGCCTGTCCCCCTACAGGCCGATTTTGGACGAAAACAAATGTTTTAAAATCCGCAAAAATTGCCAAACCATACAAACAAAGAGTCCCCATATTAGTTTTCCTCACTGATCAGGCCCGCACGTGTGAGCCGTCCCGAATGACGCCAGTGCAAGCGGCCGCGGTGCACGCCCGCCCACGAGGGTCTCAGCCGAGATGGCTAGGATGGGGAGGAGGAGGAGGAGGAGCAAGAGGAAGAGAAGGAGGAAAAGGAGGACGAGGAGGAGGAGGAGGAAGAGGAGGAGGAGGAGGAGGAGCAGCAGGAGGGGAAAGAGGAGGAGGAGGAGGAGGAGGAGAAGCAGGAGGAGGAGGAGGAGGAGGGGAAGGAGGAGGAGGAGGAGGAGGAGGGAGGAGGAGGGAGGAGGAGGAGGAGCAGGAGGAGGAGGAGGAAGAGGAGGAGGGGAAGGAGGAGAAGGAGGAGAAGGAGGAAAAGGAGGAGGAGGAGGAGGAGGAGGCGCCCACACTCCCGCTCGCGGCCTGCGCGCAGCGCTCCATGCAGGCGCCGGCGTGGAGCGCCACCGAGCTCTTCTGCCCGTTCATGTTGAGCTGCCCGTCCCTCTTCTTGTACACGATCTGAGCGGCGCTGGTGAGGGGGAACGTTCGGGGAGGAGGGGCTCAGAAGGGGGGGGCGCCATCGACCTGGAATCGACCTGGATGGATCCTCGAACCTCCCCCTTGAGCACGCTCACTCGACACTCGAGGCCTCAGAGAGCGGCGTGAGATGAGGAAGGGGAGGAGGAGGAGGAATAGGGAGGTGGGTGGTCGCTGCACCCAAATCCCGAGCAGATCAACCCGCACCACGACCATAACGAGGCCGCCGAGGACGAATGAGACGGGACGCCCTTGCGACCCCCAAACCACGCACGGGTTCGGGACAGGGTCCACCCCGCGAGGTCTTGACAGCACCATCGTTGAGCGGTGCTGCGGCCTCCGTCCCCCCCCCCCCTGGAGCAGCAGGGAAGACCGGGGAGGATGCATGAGGCAGCGGGGAGGAGCGAGGGAGGGCTAAGGGACGAGGCAGGGCGGATGAGGCTGAGGAGCGGCAGCGTCAGACAATGAGGATAAGAGGGACGGCGCAGGGAGTGGGGGCAAGGGGAGCGGGGAGAGGGGCGATGCGAGGGGGAGCAAGCAAGAGGGAGAGGGAGCGAGAGGGGATGAACGGGCAGGAGGCATGGGGAAGGGGAGGGCAGCAGAAGGGTTATTGCAGAGGAGATGGGCATGTGGGGGAAGCTTGATCAACAACATCGAGCAACAACCTCCCCAGTCCGCAAACCATCGGGAGCCTCTGAAAGGAGACCCACATGCAATACACCACCCCACTTCCCGGACATTTGACAAACATATAATATGTGATAGCGCGGCACACGCATTGTTATACAATCACAGCGTGGGCCGTTCCAAACTGACGGCCCTGGGCAAACGGACTTCGCGCTAACAAAGGAACTTCGACATCGTAGATCCCCAGGCGCATACCCCGTCACAACATTCAGGGTAATCGCGATTCACCCATCCCGTTCTCTGCCTACTCCAGACTTCCTCACAGCCCACAACAGGTGCCAAGGGTCGTTTTCAGCTGGCACTGGGACGGTCCTTTGACGTACAACGCACTGTACCCTAGCACTGGTGCACACCCCGCTCTGAAGAATTAGCACGACAAGCCGGAACAATCAACGAATGACAGGACATGTATGAATCGGAGGTTGGGGGTTGAGGTCGCAGTGGGACGGATAGCCCCCTCCCACAGGGAAGTCGGTTGCGGTGTCGTGTTCGTGTCGTGCGTGCGGGCGGGGCGAAGCTGCGTGGGCGCGCGATAAGAACGACCCCGCCGTCGCTAAGGCGATCCGGATGCAGTGGACCGCCCCTCCGCCCCCTGTGGGCGCGCGGTGGCCCGGGGTGTCCCGCCGTGGTGTCTTGTGGTTTCCCATTGGTATCCCGTTGGTGCCCCGCCGATGTTCCGTTGTTACCGATATTGGAATCGATAGTGAAATCGAATATCAAATCGCTAGAATGGGAAGGATGGTGAGATCCAACGTGAGATCGACAGTGAAGCTGATTGTGGCATTGTTTGTGAGATCGAGAATGAGATCGATGGAAGACTCGATAATGAAATCGATTGTGATATCGATTGTAACATCGAAAACGGAATTTACAATGAGATCGATCGTGATATCGAGAGTGAGATATTTAGTAAGATCGATCAAGTGTGATCGATCCTGTGAAGTCGATGGCGGGATCGATCGAGTGAGATCGAGCACGGGGACGATAGTGACATTACATCGCAGCGCAACGTCGTCATCACGCGTCGTCGCTAACCCGAGGGCGTGTCAACAGCATCGTTTCATTATACCCATGGCAGTTGCCGGCAGTTTGTTTGTTTTTTTTTCCCCACCCCCCAACCTCCTTATCACACGAAGGGTGGTCGTATAGGTATACATCAGAAAGGAAAGGGCAGCGTGTTGCATACACCACACGGACGGGCCAGCCATGGATACACCAGAGCGACGGGACAGGTCAATCGATACTTCAACATATTCCAAAAGAGTGCGACGATGAACTCACACGCTTGGACACATCCTTCGCCGCTGAGCTCCAACAGGGGGGACGCGCCGGCAAGCGTTCCACAGCCCTCGAACTCATACAAAAAGGGCAGGAACGAAAGCGCGCGATCGCGCGTCCGCAAACGAAACTACCCGGAAGCATGTATAGGTCAGGATGGAGGGAATAACACCATCATAGGAAGAAGTCTGTAGCACCGACCAGGTCAGATTGGCCATAAAGCATGGTTTGGGGAAGACCAAACCGACATGGTGCGTTGCACATGGCCCCCCGATCTACATCATATCCTGAAGTCAGATCCAGGAACGAACTGAAGCGTGTCAGCTTTGTGATGCCCAAGACCCGGATAGCGACGCAGTCGAAGGCGCGTGACACGCTTCTGGGAGATGCTTCCAAGGACGCTAGAAAGGGCGCCTATGGAGCTTGCAAGCTCGAGAAAGGAGCTTCGCAGGAGCTGCCAACGAGCTTCGAAGGAACTGCGGAAAGCCAAGCGGCACGCGTAATGGGACCGAGTAGGAAACGCTCTCGGGACACGCCAGAAGGTCAAGCAAGTCGCTGCGAGGCTGCTTGACCGGCGCCGAAAAGAGCTTCTGGTCTACCCCACACTGCCGGCTTCTAATATGAAACCCTCTCAGCTCTCTGGGAGATCTCCGGGATTCTGCAATCTCGGCTGCCTGCCGGGTCGAGTAGCGAGGGGCTCGCCCATCCTTTCGCGCAGCTGCTCTCTCGTGCGCCCGGTATCGAGGATCGCGCCTGGTGGCTGGGCGTCGAATCCAGCTGCATGCAGCAGACTCCGTACCCCCAGCTCCTCCTCCTCCTCCTCCTCATTTTCCTCCTTCCTCCTCCTGCTCCTCCTCCTCCTACTCATTCCTCCTCCTGCTCCTCCTCCTCCTCCTCCCCCTCCTCATCCTCCTCCGCCTCTTCCTCCTCCGCCTCCTAGTCCATCTCCTCCTCCTCCTTTTCCTCCTCCTCCTGCTCCTCCTCCTCCTCCTCCTTTTCCTCGCTCCTCCTCCTCCTCGGTCGGTCGGGTCGGTCGGCAACTAAGGGAATGAGTCTGGATCCCAATCGATGTGTGAGACGAGAGCGGCAGCAGAGAGAAAAAAGAGAGCGGAGGCAGCGATCGCTGAAGCGGGCAAGCCTCGTCACGGTGAAACGCATCATCCCCCCCCCACCTGTTACAAAGCCCAGTCCCAATCCATGCCGTGCATTTGAAAGCCCAGTCCTGGTGCAGGGAGTCGAGCCAGTACGCGTGGTGATAGACATCGACGCTTAGGTGGATCTCAACCACGGTCGGCAGGGGAAAATGACACACCCAGGTGCTGGGGGCTAGTCGGGGTACTACCACCTGACAGCGGCGAAAAAGATACCTTCCCCCGAATACATGCAAGAGTTACGGTGCTGCGCACACCCTAGCCACACCCAGGTGTCGGGGCCGTTGGGGTACTGCTACCTCACGGCAGCGAAAAAGATACCTTCCCCAAGCAGCTCTAAACATCCCCACCTGTCAGCGAGAGTTAAAGGTGCCGCGCACACCCAGGGGGGCAGTGAGAAACACAGCAATTTAGTGCGGGTAAGGAGGACCTCGCCACGGTTTCTATTGAGAGAGAGTGGTACCCATTTGAGCGTAGTCACGGCCCCTCTGGAACTCAAAGAAGGGGTCGAGAGGCACAAAGAAAGGGGCAACAATGTCGTCTAAATCCAAAGGTGGGTCTCCTTCACAATTGAACTGACTCTGAATAGACACAAACACGGATTGCGCGAGAAAGCGGCAAAGTTGGGATGGGTACGTCTTCGCCGCAGCCGTATTCCACCCCCCACTCCCATCCCTGCCTTCCAGCACATACGGATGGGCACGGTGTTGGCACCTCCCATGATGTGGCAATTCACGAATGAGCTGGCCCATCATAGGCACATTGATTCCAAGGAGAGACGTCGGTTGCTTAGCACGCTGACCGAACATGCATTGGTCAATCCTAAAAAGACGGACCCCAGGCATCCTGGCAAAACGAACCAAAAGGGGGAGGTGCCAACTGCTAGGGACATTGGGGCGATGTTCTGCAGGAGCGGGGTGCTCCATTACAGCCGGGAGACCCAGCCTCCACGCCTCCACAAGGAACTCGAGCGTCGTGCGCAACAGAGCGTTGCCCACATCTACTTGGTCCTGTTCCTTGGGCGCAAGGCAGCGCAGCCCCCAAAGCATGTCGGGTGACCTTAGGGGTCGAGGGTGAGGGCCAGGGCTGTTTTCTGGGATCTCATTGTGGCGAGCAGCACTCCACGTCTCACATGGGGGCCCAGCCACCACCCCCGCGACCCACCCATCTTTCATAAGTCGCAGCCAGAAATCCACAATACTCGGTTTGGACAAATCACCATAACGGGGGCAGTGGGTAATGTCGACAGACAAAACAATAACAGGAACCCTATATTGGGAGGCCAGTTTCTCGGTCCACTCTTGGAGGTCCCCCGCGCGACGCTGGCCCGAAAAGAGGTGGAGCAAGTAGCGATGGGGCCGCGACGGAGGCGGGGACGGAGCGAAGGGCAACGGAGGCGGAGGAGGCGGAGGAGGGGGAGCAGCCGGCTCCGTCACCGGCAAAACACCCTCGAGGACCTTGGGGCCCCTGGCTGGGCCATAAACACGGCGGGGGGGAAAGTGGGCAAAATCATCGGTAAGCCCCCTGGCACGGTTTGCGCTCTGGTCACGACCCCTTTCAGCACGGGCCGCGGCAATTTCTTCAAGAGAGGGTCGCGCACCAGTGGCGACAAGACCACGAAGACAAACCCGAGCTCGGGCCACATGTTTATAGAGGCGCCCGTTAGCCCTGAAGTCCCAGCAACATATTTGGCAAACCGTACCAGTGGCAAGCATCGACGGGGTCATCACATGGGGGTGATGCTTGCCCCTATGGCTCCGAAGAGCACGTTCCGTCTTGAATATCTGCCCGCACTCGTAGCACACGACCCCCTGATGGGCCGCATCTGTGCGCACTTGCAGCGGGGCGCCCTCGATGGCGGCGTTC